CGTATCCACCCTATGAAGCCCGGTTCCGACGACTTTCCTTCGCTAGTAGAAAAGACTCGGTTTTCTTGTATAGGAATATTTATGAATTTTATTTGGGAATTTTAAGAACTCTTTCTTGAAGTTTTATGAAGAACACTTTCTTCTCTTTCTAACACTTAGAAATTTAGGATCAAAAACTTCACTTAAATGCAAAACCATTTTGCATATATTTATACTAAACATTTTAGCATAAAATAATCAACATTTAGTAATATTAAATAAAATCAAATTTTATTTAAATAGTATTTACTAACTTTTGACTTTGAAAATAATAAGATATGTTAAGTAGTTCAAACAACCATCAACAACCATTTTATTATAATCATATTTATTATTTTAATCCTTAAATCATATTTAAAGATATAAATAATAATTGGATAATAAATCTTGAGAATCTTTCTCAAGACTTTATTATTATATCATTTTCCCAATATTATAATAATCATATTATTATTATTTTGGATTTTTGAAATTTAAAATCCTATTTTAAAATTCAACTTTATTAATTTAGTAATTACCTTAATTACTAAAGTAATATCCAAAATGTAATTAATCAATCTTATTGATTAATATATTCCTTTAATTGATATCTAATCAAATTAGATATTTATCAATTAATTCTAACCATTAGAAATACAATCTTTACCTTTGTTCATAATTAGTGTGACCTTTTAGGTTCACCTTAATACTAGTAGTGGGTTTACAACACTTTGTAATTTGAGTTAAATCTTATTAACTCTTATTCATGAATTAACCCTTTAATTTATGAACCCACATATCATGGTAACACCTAGCAAGTAGCATGAATCTAGTATTAAGTGAATAGCGAGTAAACCTATTCCGATTACAACTCCATACATGTAAAATCCTTTCGACATCTAATTTCCCGATTAAGTCTTGGGTATGATTTTGTCGAAACCCAAATTGACTTAATAACTATGATTCTATTTCATGTTTATTAACCCGGTTATGAATCACTATTCATCTCTGCCTTGGCCAAGGACTTTGGATTAATAACTATGAAACACATAGGAAATTCACTTATCTTCATAAGTGTCGAATCCTTTATTGGCCACTAACAAACTTCCATACATATTAACATAATACCCAACTTATCCCTTTAAACGATAGTGCTAGCTACCAAAAGGATAAATCAAAGTAGAATGTAATATGCACAAAGTTACCATTGTGCCTCAAGTCTTAGGATTAGTCATGTACTATTGTAACATGAAAATTCTTATTCGACTGAATAAATTCTTCATTAAGAATTTTCATACGGTCATGTTCAGTGAACTTGTTCTCTAACAAGCACCCACATAAATGTACTTACGTCTTACGCTAATGTTGATGGAATGCAACATTCTTGTCCAACAAGCATACAAACTATGTGCAAGTCTTTTATGGATTATTCGATATCCCATCTCGAAACATCCATCGACTTGGAACTGTATTTAAGATCACGGCTTTCAAGGTATGTTCCATGATCACCATCTCTATGCGCAACCATACCTTATAACCATAAGTGATCTAGGGATTTTATCTTAAGTGCAATTATAAGATAAATGCTTTCTCTTAAGATAAAGAAATGCCTTATTCATAATATAATTCCAATAGACTGTATTTACAAGTAGAATACGTCCAATTAGATTGGAACGCCGGGTACCCTACTCTAACATCTTTAACCTAAAATCCAATTTAAATTTCATCCAATCCAACCATTCTTGATATTATCAATATAATTAAATAATATCAATCAATGATCCTCACATATTACATCAATTTTAATTCACTATTTATCAACTTACATAATTTTAACTACTTATCATTTTCAACCATCTATATCCTACTTTTACTTCACATCAACTTTAATCATTATATTTTAAATATTATTTAAATACACACTCAAAATCTCACTCAAATTTAAAATTAATTTATTTTAATTTAGATACAATTAAAACCGATTTTGATCCGTTACCAATCGCCTCTAAGTAATGCTACAAAACAACATAACAATTCCACTGGTTTGGTTAATGAAATTCACTCTTGCTAGAAAATTTTCTTGGGCAAAATACAGTCTTTCCAAGTTTACATGTAGAAAGAAATGAAAGGAGTATCTATCAACAAGAGCACATTGTCACATTATCTTTTCAGGAATTAGTAGTGTGAGGAAAGAAAGAACAGTAAAAAACAAAAAGCTAACTAATCTATATATATATAAAGAGGTTGTTGGAAAAATACATTAGTAGAAAGTTTGACCAAATAAATGTAATGTTTGACTTTCTATTAATGGAAAGTTCAACAAGACACATGTGAATCTTTAGTAACAAAATCTAAATCCTATTTTTTTGGTAACAAATTTGGATATTTTTATGGCAAAATTTGAATCCCATTTTTTAGTATCATATTTTATTTTTTTAGCAAAATTTAAATCATATCTTTTTGGTAACAAATTTGGAGATTTTTATGCAAAAAATATGTCAATTATTTATGAAAAAAATTCTAAATACAAATTAATTTAAAAACCGTGCAAACTGGATACAAATTTAGAAAGAAAATAGTTGTATAGTTCTTAACCAATTCTTCCAATTTTATTGAATAATTGTTTCTTTCAAAAAATTGTATAAATTGGATAAAGTCACGTGCAATTTTTATTTTAAAGTAAAACTGATATTTGGACGGGATGTACATTTAAAATTGTGTCCACATTTTTTGGTAACAAAAGCGGTTCATCATTGATATTTAAAGTCACCTTATCCAATTATTTAAGAAAAATTGTGTGAAACTTTTCAAAATTTAAATGCATCAATTTTTTTGGATTATTATGTTTTATCTTAACCATGTTTTACCGAGATTTTGGTAAGTTCATATCATTTTTTTTTTTGGTAAAGTTCATATCATTTTCTTGAGGAAAGAAACAGTTGCATAAACATTAACAATTTATTTTAATTTTTTTATTAGAATTATTTTCAATTCAATTTGTTTGGTATAAAAATCGGTGCAATGTTAGGAAAATTTGGTTACATTTTTAGGAAAAATTAATGATTTTTTTTTTATTTTGTTTAAAAAACATTCGGATCAATCTGCTTGATAAAAAAATTAGTTTATTGATAGAAAAATCGGTTTCATTTTAGGATAACTAATGATTCTTTTCAATTTTTCTTAATTGAAATTTATAATTATATTTAAAATAAATAATGGGTGAAAATCTCTAAAAAAATCTACTTTTTTTCTACTTTAATTTTGTTTAATAAATAAGATCCTTAATTTTTTTAAAAAATTTGTGTTAACTAATAACTAATAATATGCAATTTTGGATAAATTCGAACACCTATGTAATACTTTACGTGCCAAAGAATCAAATCAATAATGTTGTACATAAGAAAGTGTTTAATAACATATAAATTTGATTTTCATGAAATTTTTAATGGCCTGAGACAATTTAAATACAAAAATACCTTTTAAAAAATAAATGAGTAATAAATGCTCCCGTGCATCGCACGGGTACCGTACTAGTTATATAAAACAATGCTCGTGATGCATGTCAGCATGTGATTGCGGGAGCACATCAGGCTGTTATTATTTTATAATTTAATAAAATCAAAGAAATATGGGACATTAAATAAAAAGTGAAATCACAACCAATTTGATTAGGCAAAACATATACAATCAAAGGCCACAAATATGGCACTCATTGTCATCATCATCAATTACTTTTCCACAAATATTATTTTTGGTAAACATGATGTGCAACTTTTCCTCCGTTCTCTTTTTTGCTTACAAAATCATTTACTATTATAATTCACCCTAAACTTGAATAAATTGCTAACAGATCCTCATACAAACCGGTTTCACATTCTGCCCATGTCAACCTTAATTAGTAATTCCACACCTACACAGGATCGAAATTTCTCCTATAATCCAAATCCAAATATACATGTAATGATAGATGTACTTAGTTTTCTACATATCTAATATGAATATGAATGTAAACCTTAATTAGGTATCACTTTATATAAATATATGAACATTGTTAATGTTTAAGTCCATCAAACTTTGTTTGACTGTATGAAGATCATTATATCCTACAAATGAATAAATCCATAAAATAATTTTTTGTTGGAAATAGGGATGAGCAAATTCTAGCCCAAATCGATTTCAAGCAGTTCAATTTATTTTTACCGTGTTAAAGAAATTAATTCAATTTTTTATTCGGTTCCATTCAATTATCTGGTGCAGTTTTACACAAATTGAACCTAATTGTGCAGAAAATCAAGAAAAAAGTGAAATTATTGAGTAGAACCGTATAATTAATTCGATAATGTAACTAAGGTTCAATTATTTTAGTGTAAAAATTTTATATTTGATTTTAGTTCAATTTTTTTTTTCTTTTTCTTTCTTTTTTTGGTTTATTGTAGTGCAATTTAATTTAAAGATTTCACAAATTTTTTTTTATTTAATTTTATCGATTCAATGTAGTTGTACATCCAAATGCACCATTAGTCTAATTAAAAATCTATGAAAATTTTGTACGTAATTGCCTATTCAACCAAAATTCAACAATCACCTTATCCCCAACTACACATTAGTCTAATTAAAAATCTATGAAATTTTTTGTAAATGTCTATTAAAAAAAGTTCAAAAATCACCTTATCCCCAACTACACAAAGCCCAATCTCTCCCATCGAACACAATAAATAGTCTTTACTCACCCAACTTCCATTTCATTCAAAACTCTCACTCACATTTCCTCTCCTCAACTAACTCAACTTCCCAAAAGTAAATAAAATAAATAAATATGTAAATAAAATAAAACTCCTTCCTTTTCTCCACATTATAACACGGATTCCCTTTCTCTTCACCAGTT